ATAATTTGTAAGCAGCCTATCTGTTGTCTTAATGCTGATCACTTTGGGATCTCAGAAAAGCTCCAGGTTATGGAAAATAAGCAAGTGAGAATAGGTGATGTGATTTGACATAATTAAATGTTGTGAGTTAGTGTGGTTTTTAAAGCATGATTTATTTTTATAAGACCCTTGTCTTTCATCAGTACCTAAATAGCAATTCTATTCATCAAGTGGTCTGACACCTTGTTTTGACACTGGATTTTGGAGAGTCCTTTTAAGCTGCATGCTGGGGTGAAATGAGAACAGGCCTATCTGCTGGTTTCCTATGGCAGATGAATGATTGCTGCTTGCTGCTGGGATAATAAAGTAATTTAATTTTGGACATTGATTAACTTCTTAATTCAGACTTCGAGATCCTTTTCTATCCAGGTCAGCTCATGAGGGTTTGGTGAGATGAATTTCTTAAGCTCACATGGGATGTTTGCCCAGGACCAGGGGAGCTGCCCTGTGCTGCTGCTTACGAGAGCTTTCCTCTCTGGCTGGAATCACTTGGTCAGCAGCAGAGTGAACTTCCTGAGCCTTTTCTGTGCTGTTAAATTTGGGATGCTCAGAGTCAGGGCTGCTGACCTGCTTCATACCTAAGGGTCTCCCACACCTCTTATGGGAGAAGGAGAATAAGAATTCCCATGCCTAAATTGTTGTTTTTGAGGGAAGTCTCTGTAGTGCCTTTGCATGTAAGGGCAGGGTTTGACCATTCCCTCCAATCCTGAGCTCTTTTCAGAAGCAGCAGCTCTCAGGTATTTGAGCAGCAAATCTGTGTTCTGCCAGTGGGACTTGCTGCAGTGTGGGGCAATGTTCAGAGTGAGCCAAGGTGGATGGCCAGTCTGCATTATCTAAAATCTGCACAGCACCAGTGCCTCAGACACCAAGGGTATTTTATTAGCCCATGTGAGAAACTGCAATATTGGTTGTAATGGTTTTGATGAGCAAGTTGATTACTTAGGGTTTTCCTGCTCTTTGTAGCCAACCTCAGGTGAGGGGAGAAGAATGTGGGTTTTTTTCACAGACATTTGTAGAGCCTGTCTTCTGCTCTGAACCATCCACAGAACAGGTCTGGAGTTGTTTGAGGCAGCTGTTTGGCTAAGCAGAAGGTTAAGATTAGACTGTCATAAAATGTTTTATGTAGTTTTCGCTGATTTGTCTTAAATGCAAGAATCAGGATGGATGGATCAAAGTTCCTGCAGAAGGCAGGGTCCCAGACATTTTGCGCTTTTATTGCAATGACACCAAATTAATCTGTCTTTGCAGAATGATTTATAAGGGTTTCTAGAATTGTCTACATGGTCACATTTTCAAACCTTGGCTCTGTAATCCTTTTAGTGGGGTCTCTAATGGGGCTATTAAAGATTGCAGACCAAAGCAGCTAAAGAGTATCCTTAGAACCGTCTGGTCCAAGACTTGCTAAATCACTTTTATTTCATGGAGATGAGGGACTCTGCAAACAGGTCATAAGGCACAACTTCTAGTGTATTTTAGTACTCATGGCAAATATTCTGTTGACTATTGACTATATCTGCTACATCATTTACCTTGTGGCTCTGGAAGTCTCGGGTTAGGGCTTCACTCTGTAATGCTACCTCTCCCTGCAGAGCTTAGAGATAGTGCAGGTTATTCTCACTCTTGGTATTTTCAACGAGATGAAACCAGCAGCTCTCCAATCATCCCCTTTACTTGCCAAGACTGTCTGTTTTAGAAGAAGGTTTATTAGTGTTTTTTTACCCTCTCCACAAAGTTGAGGCTTCATGTTCGTAATGGCACCCTCTTATTATTTTAAAAACTGGCAATGAAGAGCTCTATTACTGACAGGAGGGAATAAAAACATGCCAGTTGGAGCAATCCAATAGGGACTGAGGCTGGCAACAACTTTTAGCCTGTGACTCACTTGGAGCAGTTGTCTGGAATCACTCCTGCTAGCTGACAGATTCTTGTTCAGAAGGGGCCAACCCTGATCTTGAGTCACGAAGGTCGTGCTGCTGATTCCTGATATTAGGACCAAAATCAGGCCCAGAGATTTTCAAAACCTCACAGGACAGTGTCAGTTTGGGTAAGGGGTGAGTTCTAGGGCATCTTTTCTCTGCTAATTTGGCAAGGTGCATTCCTACCTCCAGCTTATGCGGTGGTGTTTCTGGACCAGTACAACTATGAAAATTCAATGGTACCACATAAAGTCCAGGCAAGATCACCACAGGATAAGGGAGCATTTTGTTTTGCATGAAGGAATTCACAGCTGAACACTCAGCTGTGTAGTTAGACTTTGGGAGAATGATTGATTGTAAATGTCTCCACAGATATAAGCAGGACATCTGGAAATCCCTGTGTCCAATATTGCCCCAAACTGTCCAATCTATTTTAATGAACTAGCACTTTGCTGTATCTAGATGCCTGTAAGGAAAGCTTGGTCAAACAAGCTGTCCTCATCTCCCATGCCAGCCCAGTTCCCATCCCTGCCCAGGTTCCCAGTAAAAGCCTGAGTCACAGCTAAGTGACTGCAGTCTGAGGAGGCAGGTAGCAGGATGGGAAGTGCTCTTCCATAAAGAAAGGCATGTCAGAATAAGGCACATATCACAAATTCCTTCTAAAACACCCCAGCTGGAACAGAAACAAATATTATATTGGCAGTACCATAATGTTTGCATTCACACACCAGCTGTTACTCTTTCCCATGGGGTCTTGTTTTTTAAATGGCTGGTGGAGGACATTTCTGTTAAGCAACAAATCTAGCCTTATTTTCTATATTGGCTTATTTTCCTATATTGGCTGTATATAGTTTTCCTTGGAGCGTTAGATTTTTTTTCTTTTCTTCTTTTTTTTTTTTTAATATATATTTGTGTGGTATATATGCTAACATGCAATGGATTCTCTTTGAAAGGCTGACAATAAAGCATGGTGCACTCTAATTTAAAGCAATGCATACTTCTCTTACGGATTATTGGATTATCAGCTTTGGCTTTGTTAAACATCATGTATGACTAAGTGCAGGAGTATTTGGCACACTAAATTTATTCATGACTATTTATTAATTAACTTATCTTACGGAAACTGAAATAGCAAAGCTATTCCTGGACTAGAAAGGCTGGTAGATTTTTGGCCTGTAATAAATTGAATACATAACACAAAGTGGGAGAAAAAAGAAGAAAAACATTGCATAGAGTCAGTTCTGAGCAGGAATTACTCATTGCTTTTTTGTTTGGGTTTTTAAAAATGTATTTAAAACATTATTGAAGTATATAAACAAATTTGATTTCAGCCTTTCCCTATAATTGCATTAAAGCACTTTCAAATATTCTTAATTGTTGATTTTGGGGAAATTAAAGTTCCAGAAATACCTTTTGGATGCAATATGATGTAATACCACCTATATCTGTGTATAATCTATAACATTATGAACCTTTGCATTAGAATCTGAAGTGAATGGTTTGCCAGGGGTTTGAATTGCCCATGACTGTGATGGATGTGCTGGGAACCTGTCAGTGCTCACACGTGTGGTGTGGTGAAGCACAAGTGTGAGCAGGATCCGCAGGACTAATCTGCATCAATTTTCCTGTTCTGGCACTTCAGAGGCTTCAGTACCACGGACATAGCAAATGCAAGCCTGGAAATACTCTTTATTTTCAGTTATGTGATTTTCCTTTTGCTTTCTGGTGTTTGTGTTGTTCAGTCTTGTTTGTTTTGTTTGCTTTTTAACCCAATGCTTCCCCACTGTTGACCTAAGAGTTTATTCACATCCATTTGCTCACTGTCAGCTCATCCCACTGTGTCGTGCAGGGCTGCAATACACTTGTGGCTAAGACAAGAAAGGATGACTCTGAAGTGTTGATTGTTGGGCACTGCTTCTCAGAGATTGGTGATTTTAGTTATTTCTAGAACTCTTGTTTTAGCTAACATAAACATCTACTGCTTTGAGTTCATGAGACAATCTTGCTGTCTCTGAATTTCAGCAGAATTACAGGAACAAGTGGAGATGTTCAATTTTTTTATACCTAGAAAGGCTTTTGTGTTCAAAAGGAAACAGAATGCTACCTTAAAGTCTGGCCAGTATTGGCAGGTCTACTACCATGATTTATAAAATAGTAAGTATTATACTAGTGATTTTATGCAAATAACACCCGTGTTTTCACATTAAACTATGAGATGAGACTTTGGCAAAACACAGAAGTAAGAGCCCTGCAACTGAATTGAAGGCTGAGACTGATGAGCAAGTTCAGGTCATGAAACAGGGTTTTTTTCATCAATTGCCTATATCTGGTGTCTCTCACTTGCTACAGCAGGCTGCATTTTTCATTTAAATATAGAAGCTTCTACCATCCAATTTTTTTGTCCATTTACTAAAAGCAATGCAAGGATAGAGGGACAAGAAGCAATTCTTTAAGACTAAAGATGTTCCCTCTATCTTAGCCTTAAGGAGAAACTGAACACATCTAAATCAGAGTCAAAATACAGCTGGGTGATAACGGGCACGATTGGAAAAAGCTCCCCCCTCCCCCTTTGGCTTTCATTTAGATTCTGCAAAGAAAGAATATTCAAAACAGCATGAAAGAGAAAAAATAAGTTGGGAAGGAAGGAGATTATTCTTTGCTCTCAGTGATTTTAAACACAGCTAAGGATAGAGGGCGAGCCCTCAGAGGCAGGCAGTGGAAGCATCCCACGGAACTCACCTGCAATCTGAGGGTGGGGAGGGGGCGAGGTGGGAATATTTACCCGGGCAAATTCAAGTGCAGCATTGCCAGCCGCCACTAGCTGTCACTTTGCAAGCAGCCGGGCTCGGTGTTTTCAGCACTGCGGTTAGCGAGATTGCGGTGCTAATTAAACGGAGTAACTCCCGAGCCGCGGAACGTCCCGAGCCCGGGGCTGGGCGGCAGCGAGCCCGGGGCACCGAGGGGCGGCACGGGGCACCGAAGGGCAGGCAGGCTGTGCCCGAGCTGGGCTGGGCACGGTGCTCCTCGCGTAAAGCCGAGCCTTACCTGAAGAAAACGATCGTCTCCCACACGTAGACTCCGAGCGCGTTGACGTTGCACATTTTTCCAGCTCTCGCTGTTGTGTTTTTGGTTGTTTGTTTCTTTTTGTTTTGTACTCCGTGAGGGGTGGGCCGGTGGCGTTGGCCAATAAAGTAACCGGGCACTTGGGGAGAGCGGAGCAGCCCCGGCACGGGCGGGCGGCCGCGCTCAGCACCGCGGAGAGCAGCGGGCGGGCTGAGCCCGGACAGCGCCCGCTCAGCACCGCGGGGAGCGGCGGGCTCGGCCCGGACAGCGCCCGCTCAGCACCGCGGGGAGCGGCGGGCTCGGCCCGGACAGCGCCCGCTCAGCACCGCGGGGAGCGGCGGGCTCGGCCCGGACAGCGCCCGCTCAGCACCGCGGGGAGCGGCGGGCGGGCTGAGCCCGGACAGCGCCCGCTCAGCACCGCGGGCAGCGGCAGGCTGAGCCCGGACAGCGCCCGCTCAGCACCGCGGGGAGCGGCAGGCTGAGCCCGGACAGCGCCCGCTCAGCACCGCGGGGAGCGGCGGGCTCGGCCCGGACAGCGCCCGCTCAGCACCGCGGGCAGCGGCGGGCTCGGCCCGGACAGCGCCCGCTCAGCACCGCGGGCAGCGGCGCCGCTGCGCTCGGCCCTCCTCCGCCGGGCCCCGCCACTGCAGCGCCGCTCGGGGCCGGGGCTGCCCTCACGGAGCCCTCCCTTCAGCGCGATGTCGGTCCGGACATCAGGCTGGCGACAGCGGGTGTAGGTTTGCCATCAGGGTGCTGGCGGTGAGGTGGGAGCTGGGGGTAACGACGGCCCTCAACAACCCAGGGTTTAATCTCCGCTGCTGGCCGGGGTGTCTTCCTAATTACATCCACAGGAATTTGTCAGTCTGGAGCCGCGCTGCAGTCCCGGTTGTGTCGCTTTCCTGCCCGCCGTTTGGCTGCTGTTGATTCCGGCTTCCTGGGCTGTTTTCCTCCCGGATAAGTTATTGCTGCTGTAGGGAAGGTGTCCCATTGCTCAGGGCTAGAGCGGAGGGGAGCGAAGGGGAAGTTTCTTGGGAAGCACTTCCATTGTGCTCGGAAAGAAAGTGGCTCAGTGTCCTCCTAATGCATCTCATCTCCCCTCTACCCTCTCTCCCCTGCTAGGACTCGCCAGATCTTGGGAGTTTCTTGCTGCATTAATTTACTAAACTAAAAAAAAAAAAAAAAAAAAAAAAGACAGAAAAGAAGGAAAAAAAAAGGAGGGGGAGGTGGAGAGAGGGAAGGCAGAGGGGAGGGGGTAACTCAGCCTCTCCACCATCCCAAGGCCCTCCTCTTAGCTGTGCTCATTGGTCTCGGGGCTGAAAAAACTACTCTAGGACGTGGTTGGATAAACGCATGTTGTTCAGCAGAGGCCGTTAACCTTTAAAGCGCTGATACGTTTTGGTTTATTTCAAATTTTTTACTCCGAATTGCTGTCTTTTTAAGAAGTCTCTGAAATCGTCTCCCTTGACAGGGCAAGAGAAACGTGCCTTAAATCTCCGTCTCGTGGAAGATCTGCTTGGCTGGCAGCTGATATGTGTTGCTGTTGGCTTTTAAGGAGCATCTCTGTTTCGTGATTATTTTATTGTTTAGCTTTGATTTATTTTATTTTCATTTTTCTTTTTGTTTTGTTTGATTGGCTTTTTTTTTTCTTTTGGTCTTTTGCATTTGGTTTTTCAAAGAGCTTTGGCAAACACCAGAGCCATCAAGGCCAGGGCAGGTAAGGAGCATTCAGTAGTTTCTGATCACAGCTCCAGCTGTGCTCGCTGGGTGCTGAGCTGGTGGTCGGGTGGGGAGGATGGGGCTCCTTGGTCACTTTGTCAGTGTCACTCTGCTCGGCTTCTCAGCAACTTCTGAGAATTGAAAAAACTTAGCTCTCCTAAATAGTCCAGGATTTTTTTTTTCTTCTCTACTGTCCCGCTGTATTGGGATTATTCTTCTTTAAGTTCTGTTTTGTTTACTTCTCCTGTGCTTTGCAAAACTCCCCACGGCAAAGATTTGCTTTTAACCCCTGTTGAGCTGTCTTTAATCTGTTCAAGGACTCTTCCTATCCCATGCTGAAGGGTGGAGGATGACTGCTTTCTCCATCACTATTGTAGCCCCACTCCAGTCTGGGAAATAACTTCATTTTTCTTCTCGTTTTGAGTTCTCAAAGGGCTACTGCCATACTAGAATTCACATGATGTTTTTAATTTTCTGGTTTCTTTTTTTTCTTTTCTTTTTTTTTTTTTTTTTTTTTTTTGGTTTGGTTTTATTTTAAAGCAGTATGTTTATGTAGTGAAGCAGACAGAAATATCCTTTGGGTCACCATTCAAAAGAAAAGAAAGACCTGCTTGGCTTCTAGCCACTGGTACAGTGGGAATTTAATCGGATTTACTCCAGCTCCTGGGTCTCGGTGTCTGGATAGATTAATAACAGGCTCTGATTTCACCTCATGGAGATTCCTGGGGACGTGATTCCATGCAGCATTCCCTGCCTGCTGCTTGCTGGCTCCTCGCTGTCCCTTCTCCCCTGACATTTATCCCCACATTGATGAGCCTCTGTGCTTTTCCAGCCCCCTGTGCGCTGACAGACCAGAGGAGGAGCTCCAGACCGAGAGTGTTAACAGGACCCACACAGCAGGAAAGAAATGGTCTTTCCCTGGCTTTTTTACTGGGAAGCAGTACAAAAAGCAGGAAGCAGAATCATCTCTTGGCATCTGCGGGTTAATTGTAGAGGCTGTCAGCCTTCTTGTTCCCTTAGAAATGGAAATGGGCTCTGTAGGAGATAGAAATGTCTCATGTGGTATTTCCCGTGCTTGCAAGCTTGATCTTTATACCAAAGGAATCTGGGCTTGTTTCCTCTTGTCCCCACTTGCTGTCCTTGTGCTCTCTTGGGCCAGGGGAGCAGGGGAGCTGTGCTTAAGATCAAAAAAGCAATTAAATCTGTGTGTATACAGGATAAAGAATCTTCTTGGCTGTTACTGTTGAAGGGTCTCAAAGCTGCTTTTCCCAGGAAAAGAACTTCTCTGCTTTGCTGCCATCTCTCCTGGTGGTGATGCTGACCAGGGGACCCAAGGACTCTTCAGGTGATATTCAAATATTTCTTCCTACTGGGGAGAAACTAGAGCATTATTTGCTTTGACATTTGGAGAAATGGAGGAAAAACCAGGTTGCAGCAGAGATTTGGAACAAGTCTAGGCATTGGGGTGATTTAGACCAGGGAGTAAAAAATAAATGAAAATTTAGGGATATAAATTTTGCGTGTCTTATCAGGATGACACCAAAGGTACCGACACATTCTGCTTTACATTTTTGTCTGTGCTGTACTATCTCACTCTTAACTGCTTGCCTTGGTACAGTGCTCTGTACTGTGCTATGTGAACTTGTCAGGCCTTGGTCAGGATGATTTCAGGTCCTTGGAATTCACATCCTCTGATTTAACCCCGGTGATTCCAGAAACAGCCTCACTGACCCCCATCTATACTTTCTGTGTTCTGTAGTTCCTGATGTTCTTTCATCTGTAAATATCTGTGATGAAGTTTCCCAGATGTGTTCTGTACCATGCCAGATATTTAGATTTTTTTCAGTTCTCCAAGAAGTTTACTGCAGATAAACTGGAAATAGGCCTGGAGATTGAATAATTGAATAATCTGCAATCAATTTTATCGCTGTTACTTTAAGTCACTCTTGTCACCAGGTACTTCTCTCCTTGGGTCTGTCCTGGCTTCTTCTTAGATCAGGTTCTAGCTTTCTGCTTGGTTTTGTTGCAGTGGTTTGTGATTTTTTTTTTTAGGGGAAAGGTTCACTTGCCAGGTCTGCTGCTTTTCAAGCAGAGTCCAAATGGTTTTGAAAGGCATTAGTCTTTCTCTGGTGGCACTTGTACAAATTACAGAGTTGAAGATAACTTATCATTATGTCAAATGAGGCTCTTAAAATTTTAATTAACTGCTGCATGTTCATTCTTGTTCTTGTTTTTAGTTTCAAAGTAGATGAGTCTTGTAAAACTCACTTGTAGGTGAAATTGTCTGGGAAGATTCTCTGTCATCTTCTCTCTGGGTTGTGAGTGATGGATTCTGTTCAATATAGGATACCACAAAGATAACGGTTTTAATTTGTTTTTCAGCACTGAACTAAAACTTGGGGACATCAGCTGGGAAGGGTGTGCATGAGGACTGATAAAAGTCAAGGAATATCTGTTTTTCCTTTCTGAGGCTCCTCCCTGATCCTTTCCCTTTGAACAATACATGTGGAATTCTTCTCTGTGAAGAAAACTATTCTTCCTGGTAGGCTGTGGCTTCATTTTGGTTTTGATAGAATAGAATTGCTTAAAGACAAGGAGAACACAGAAGGTCTTGGGAATCACTCTGTGATGAGGTGACCATGCACTCTATGCTGAGAATTAACCTAAAGATTAATTCACAACTGCAAGTTGATTTCATTCCTGATCTGTTTTCCATCTCTGGATTTTATAGCAGGTAGAGTCATTTTAGTCCCCTCTTGCTTTTTGGAATTCAAAATCTGATATAAATTCATCCTGGTGATAAACTCCTTCAAGTTGACCATGCACTGCCTTCCTTCCCCAGATAAATGACAGGATTTCTGGTGAAGAGGTGGCCAGCACAGCAGTAAAGTACACTCAGCATTATCTTGGGAATACTAAATCCATTATTGTCAGTTTGTTCTTTGGAGAATGGCTAATGAGGAAACAGTGCCCCAAGAACTTAGATTCTGCTTCCCAAGGCAGAGATTCAAATTGCTACAGCAGCACTACTTGCCTTTTTGACACTGAACAAATGAAAAACAAATTTTAAATTAGAGTTAAGTTCACAGAATTTTACAGTGTTCCATAAAGTAATTTCCTATTCAGCTAATTTCCATGCCAAGTAAGCTATTTCTGTGCAAGATGGTTCAAATAAAGACAATTTTCTTAGAAACTTGAGAACCTGTAATTCTTTTTTTTTTCTTTTTTTAAGAAAGTAATTGCTAGTACAATAACACCATAAGGTGTTTCTGCAACAAAGTGCAGAAAAAAATTCTTTACATAAAACATGTACAGATGAAAGAATTCACTGAACCTAATGCAAAGGTCCATCTACCACTACTTTTGGAAGTATCCATAGTCTAAAAATATTTTTAACATTGAACACTGATGAAAAGTTTGATAAATTCTCTTTTGATATGCATTGGCTCTGTGGAAAACAACCACTGGTGTCTTGTCTGGGAAATTCAGCAGCCCAAGACTGGAAGGCTGCAAGGGATGGAGGTGATGGATTTGTGGTGTAGATGATTGATATTTTTGACTGAAATTCAGAACAAATATCACTGTTTGACAGCCTATTACCCCACATGTTTTTAAAATTACAGGTCTAACTATATTTGAGGTTCAGCCCTACAACTTCCTCTGCAGACAGAGCCATTCCATGGATTGTCCTTGACCTTCCCACTCCTGGGCATGTTATTTCTTGGCAAATAGAGTAGGAACTGATTTCTCATCATTGGAAACGTGGTCCCACAGGCCTGGTGACATCCAACCTGTGATCACAGACTCTCTGGAAGGGCAGTGCAGCCCTGGGCTAGGATGACTTCATGACACCCTAAACATTTGCAAGAGGCCAAGCAAAGATCTCGCTTTGTGCAACATGATTTGAATGTGTGTTTGTCCTCCCATGTCCAGGCTAAGGCAGTAATCCCTAAAGAAGAGGAAATAAAAATGAATGGATGGTTGTTTCCCCCTAGGAGTGCTGAGTTATTAATAAATTTCTATGTCTCATATGTCACATAATGACACTTGAGCTGTGAGTGGTCTCACTGAGTATCACAGGCTTGTCATGGTTGCAATTTATGTACATTATCTGTCTTGCAGTAAGAGAGCAGCAAGGACCTTGTAGCCCTACAAAAATCACACTGCTAGAATTACAGTGCAAGCCTAAAAGAAAATTACACTCCCACTAGAAGCTTGCAGGATTTAGGTTAATTGTTTCTGACCTGTACAGAACAATTACCAGGCGATTTCCGAAAATCCAGAAGTACTATTTCTTTCAAAAATTTGACCAGTGAAACTTTTTTTTTTAGTTACATTACTATGTGAATGAAAACAAGCCAAAGCTACTTTTATAGCCAGTCTTGTGAGAACTTGTTGGAAGATGTTGGAAATATTCTGCAATTGTTGAAAATATTCTCTTAGCTCTCAGTGTTATGAAGCCCACTGCTCCTGCCTTAGCTGTCCTCAAATGCTGCAGGAAATTGAACTTTTCTACCCTTTATCTTGTTTTTAAATGAAAAAAAACCCCTTTATCTATTTTGTTGTGAGCAGGCACCAGGTTTTGCAGAGGTATAGAAGGATTCAGGGCAGACCTAGAGTTATTCACATGACCCTCTTCATTCCTGTTGTCTTGGAATAAAAATAAGCAAAACAAAATCACTCGATTAAAAAACCCCACACTTCTTAAAAAAAAACAAAACAAAAAAAAACAAACAAAAAAAATAAACAACCAACCCAAACCAAAAAATATAGGAGGATAAAGAAGGAAAATAAATGGAAATAAATTCATTGAACACTTTTATTGCTTCACTCATCTTGTGAATTCAATAGAGTGTGTGTGGGAAACACCAAAAATGGAACCCTTTAGAGGAAAAGTTTGATTGCAAACAACAGACTTGGAAAGGAAATCAAGAAAAAACCAGTGATGCTGAAGTGGCCCCTCAGTGTTTCAATGCTTAGATACAGGAGCATCCTCTT